TTTTCCCTTGGTTAACTCACCCCAAGGTACCCTTTTTTTAATGGGGGCCCTCCCGGGGGCCCCAGGAAACGGGTAGGCCGGGGGGCCCCCAGAAGGTAAACCAAGGCCAGTTTTTTTCCCCCGTTTTTAAAAAAATTTTTTTTAACCGGGGGGCACATTAGAATCACCTGGGAATCTTTTAAAAATCCTGATTTCTGGGCCTCATCCTCCGGAAATTCTGTTTCTTTGTTACTAATGTTGTGGCCCCACCCCATAACAAAGAAACAGAATTTTCAGAGGATGAGGCCCAGAAATCAGGATTTTTAAAAGATTCCCAGGTGATTCTAATGTGCAGCCAAGGTTGAGAACCACTGTCTCAGAGAGCCTTCTCCCTACCTGATAAAACACATCCTCATTATTTGCACATGGTCCATCAGCTGTAACACATCAGCACCACCTCCCCGACTTGTTTTCCTGGAGACCAGGCTTCCAGTTCCTCTCCAGACTGGTTACTTCCTAGGCCACCTGCACACCCTCCAGGGCTGGTTTCCTGGGGCCCGGGCCTCCCTCTTCCACATGGTCCTTTCCCCTGTTGCTGGAGAATGAATGTCCGCTAATAGATTCCTGCGCAGGTGAGCAAGGGAAGACAGCATTCATCTGGATACATCATTTCCTACTTGACAAGTAATTTGAAGGAGAATAGAATTTCACAGGGAAAAGTCTTTTCACTCACAAATTTGAAGCTACTGCCCCATTGTTTTCTAGCTCTCTGCATTACTTTAAGAAAATTGATACCATTTAGGCTCGTGATTCTTTGTATGTGACCTATTGTTGTCCCTCTGGGTGCCTTTAAAATATTTTTTTAATCTCTTCTTTTATCCCTGGAGTTCTGAGATGCCATGATAGCATTCCTTGGTGCAGGAACTCTTTCTCTCTCTCTCTCTCTCTCTCTCTCTCTCTCTCTCTCTCTCTCTCTCTCTCTCTTTGTGTGTGTGTGTGTGTGTTGGCACAGGCCAGGCCCCTTCAATCTGGAGACCAGTATTCCTCAATTCTGGGAGGTTTCCTTATATTCTCTCTCCCATCATCACCTTCCTTCCGCTTTCTTCTCTGTTTTCTTTTTCTGGACCTCTAGTGAATCAAAAAAAT